AGAAATGAAGCCACCCTGACTCCTCCCTTCATGATATAATAAAAGAGAAAACAAATAAAAATAAATGATTGATGTTTAGTTTGCAAACAGCGTGTCAGGGGTATGTGCAGAATGTTTTGGGGAACACAGAGGAGGTGTGTCAGCTCAGCCTTGGGGGAGAAGGGGGAGAGCAGGAAACGTCCGTGAGTAGGTTCTAGTGGAAGCAAGTTAGCCATGGATGCTGGGGTGGGTTTGGGGGTCAGAGGATGCATTCTGAGTACGGCTTATTTATTTATTTATAAAATTTTAAAAAGGAACAACATTTTTCTTTACTATTTATTTTTATTTATTTATTTGGCTGTGCCAGGTCATAGTTTTGGCATGCAGGATTTTCTAGTTGTGGCACGTGGAATATTTAGTTGCAGCATGCAAACTATTTAGTTGCAGCATGTGGGATCTAGTTGCCTGCCCAGGTATCAAACCTGGAGCCCCAGCACTGGAAACAAGGAGTCTTAGGCACTGGACCACCAGGGAAATTCCTGGATATTGTATATTTAAAGGCTACCATTACAGGCCAAGGCCAAGCTTACAACCAGTTCATATTTATGGCCCACACTGCAATGTTCAAACACCTGTGTTAAACCATGGCCATTCGACTATAAAGTATTCACCATTCTGATTTGTGATGAGCAAAAGTAATGTAGCAAGTTATTAAAAATTTACATTGCACCCATCTTTGAAACTGTAAAATTATGACCATTCTTAGTTTTTATTGTTGTTAAGTGTTCTTTAATGAAACAGTGATGATAACGTATCAGTTCAGTTCAGTGGCTCAGTCGTGTCAGACTCTTTGCGACCCCATGGACTGCAGCACGCCAGGCCTCCTTGTCCGTCACCAACTCCCAGAGTTTACCCAAACCCATGTCCATTGAGTCGGTGATGCCATCCAACCATCTCATCCTCTGTTGTCCCCTTCTCCTCCTACCCTCAATCTTTCCCAGCATCAGGGTCTTTTCAAATGAGTCAGCTCTTTGCATCAGGTGGCTAAAGTATTGGAGCTTCAGCTTCAGCATCAGTCCTTCCAGTGAATATTCAGAACTGACCTCCTTTAGGATGGACTGGTTTGATCTCCTTGCAGTCCAAGGGACTCTTAAGAGTCTTCTCCAACACCACAGTTCAAAAGCATCAATTCTTCGGTCATGTCTTAACGTTTTATTTAGAAAACTGAAACACTGACAATTGTAAATAGTTGATTTACAATGGTGTGCTCATTTCTGCGGTACAGCAAAGTGATTCCGTTATATGTATGTATATATATTTTATATTATTTTCCATTATGGTTTATCATAGGGTATTGAATATAGTTCCCTCTGCTATACAGTAGGACCTTGTTTATCCATTCTATATATAATAGTTTGCATCCGCTAATCCCAAACTCCTAATCCACCTCTCCCCCACCCTTGGCAACCACAAGTCTGTTCTCTATATCTGAAAACACTGGTAAGTTTCAATGCTACTCCAATTTTAAAAATTTTGTTTTACTGATCCATGATGTTCAAGAATCAAGCTCTCAATCATTAGTGGATTAGAATTCCCTGGAGAGCTTTAAAAAATATCCTGAATCCCTTATGTCACATTAGCCTTAGTGATTCAAAATTTCTGAGGTAGGAGCTCAGGAATTTGTCTTTTTATAAAACTTCTTCGTTGATTTTTTGAAAAGCATCCTCCTGATCTGGGAGCAACCGCTCTAGCTAGATTTACCTCATCTGAAGACGTATCAAACGGATGAGTGAGCACTGCTCCTATGAGGATACATTTAGGGACATAAACCACTTTTCTTCCCCCCAAAATGAAATGCACACAACTTAAGAGTTCATAAAAGATAACTCTTTTAGAAGGAAGTCTGATTCTCAAGAAGAGAGGAGAAATATAAGGTTATGTTAGGCCTTTTCCTTTTGTTAACAAAGGGTAATGTGAAAACACTGCCCTTCACATGACTTGGTCACTGACATGAGCATATTTAGGGTGAAAAATTATCATTTGAAAATTGCAAGACTAGGTACGCTTCCATGAGTGTCACTTAGTTAAGGGAGAGTAACATTTTGAAGTCAAGAACATTGATGAACAGGGCAATAAAGTTTTATTAATGATCCTTCAGTGACCTGAAAATGCAAATAAGCTTCTTTCAGGACCTAATTTTATTTTATTTATTTATTTATTTATTAAAATAAATTAAAGGGTTTATTTTTTTTTTTCATGTGGGATCCCAATTTCCTGACCAGGGATGGAACCCACATCCCGGCACTGAAAGCATGGAGTCTTAACCACTAGACCACCAGGGAAGTCCCCAGGATCTAACTAATTTTAGATAGAACCCCCCCCCCAGGTCATTTTTCTACAAATCTTTCTATCCCATGATATTAAAGCTCATCCTTGAATACACAGTCCTGAAAGCATGAATACTGGGGCCACAACTTTGAACTCAGGGAATTTCACTTTCTTTTCCCTTAGCATTTAGAGTCATAGAAATTTAGGCATCTCTGAGATGAGTCCCTAATTTTGTGGGCAAGGAAACAGGTCTCAGAGCGTCCGTAGGACTCACCCAAGGCTCCAAAGTAGAATTAGGTCTTTCACAGTCACTTGATACCATTTCCGTGCATATTTTCACAGAAAGTTGTACTTCATGCTTTTCACTCTTGTACATTCATTTTTCATTGAATCACACAAATTGGTGAATTAAGACAGCTTCTTAACATTCCCATTTGACAGGAATGGGAAGATAGTCACATGATGAAGGTTTTGTCCATAGTTACAGGGCTGCACCAGTCGACTCTGGCTGCCAGAACATAATATCACAGACTGGGTAGCTAAACAGCAGGAAGATCTTTCTCACAGTTGTGGAGGCTGTGAAGTCGAAGAGCATGATGCTGGCCAGCCTGGCTTTCCGATGATGAGGGCTCGCTTCCTGGCCTTCTCACTGGCCCTCACGCCTGGGGGGTGGGGGGCAGGTGGGTGAGCATGGAACAAGCTCTCTGTTCTCTTCTTAGAAGGGCACTAATCCCCCCTTCAGGGCTTCCCCGGCAGCTCAGACGGTAAAGAATCCGTCTGCAATACAGAAGACTGGGGTTTGATCTCTGGGTGGGGAAGATGCTCTGGAGAAGAGAATGGCAACACACTCCAGTATTCTTGCCTGGAGAACCACATGGACAAGAATTCTGCAGGGTTACACTCCATGGGGTCACACAAAGAGTCAGATAGGACTGAATAACAAACACTGCACTTTTAATCCCCTCTTGAGGGCTGCTCATGGGCTCATCTAACCCTAATTACCTCCCAAAGGCTCCATCTCCAAACACCATCATTTGGGGGGTCAAGGCCTCAGCGGGCATGAATGTTGGAGAGGATACACTTCAGTCCATACCAACAGATGAAGGCTGAACTAGGGCCAGAATCCCGCAGAACGGATTTTCCATGATGCTGCACAAACATGAGGCTGCGTGTCCAGGATGAGGGGACCTGCACTGTGACCTACCCGTGTCTTGTCAGTGGTAGGAGAGCTTTGGAAAGAACCAGAGGAGCAAGTCGGCTTTCCTGGTAGCTCAGACGGTAAAGAACCCGCCTGCCAGGGCAGGAGACACAGGGTCCATCCCGGGTTGTGAAGATCCCCTGGGGTTGGAAATGGCTACCCACTCCAGCCTTCTTGCCTGGAGAATCCCATGGACAGAGAAGCCTGGCGGGCTACAGTCCATGGGCGGCAAAGAGGCACAAATGAGGGACTAAACAACAACCAAGGGTAGCAAGTGTCATCGTAGGGAACAGGGCTGTGGGGGTTGAGAAGCAGAGGCGAGCAGACGAAGAGGAAGATGTTTACAACAGGTAACGGGAGGGAGGACAGTGCAGGCACCGAGGCGGCTCTGTAATGGAAAGGTGCGGGCTGTCTTTGGGGAATGGGGCAGAGCCTGTTCAAGTCCAGGACCGGGCACGTCTGCAGTGGGGCTGGAAAGTCCGGCGTTCTCCTGGTTGGACACTGTCTCTTCGCTTTTACCGTCTTTCCTGTGGTTAGAGACCCCGCTCTCTATCTATTTGGAAACGAGCAAGGACGCTGCAGAGGCTGGTCCATAAACCTCACGGCTGCAGACAGGAAACAAAGCCGGGCCCCAGCACCGCGAGGCCGTGCCCGCTGTGAACCGAGTAGTATGGTGTCTCCCAGCTGGAGTGGAAGCGCAGCGGGGCACGCAGGCAGAGAGAAGCAGGTCTCTTGCTAGCGATCGTCAACCGAACAAGAAAGAAAAACGATCTCTCCCTGAAACACAGGAGGAAGGCCTGGACCTGGGCTCTGAGGTCAACGTGGTCCTCGCACCGCTGGTCTCCGGTGGGAGGGAGCTATCCCGGGCTCTAGTGGCCGCCGGCAAGGAGGAGGAAGGCTGAGGCCTAAGGACCAGCGGTCGAGAGCTTGCAAACAGCGGCTCTGGGCGAGCGGCGGGCAGGGACTGGGCGCGCCCTGCGGGGGTTGTTGGGGCGGAGGAACGCAGCCTCTTGCAGCCCTTCCTCTGTCCGGGAGGACGGCCTTCTGCAAACCTGCCTGGACTCGGAACAATTCATCCTGTTTTTCCTTAAAAAAAAAAAAAAAAAAAATTCCTGTTTTTCATAAAATCATTGTCGGAACCCCGAAGAGGGCGGTACCCGAAGGAATCTGGAAAATAGCCCGCAGGGGCGGGCAGCGGGGCGTGTCTGGTGTCGGGCGGCTGCAGGAGAACAGAAGGGCGCAGTGCGGGCAGATAACCAGGAGGGTGCTGGCGGCCCAAGCGCACCCCGCCCGGGCCCCCCCAACCCGGCGCACACCCCCGCATCCCGGAGCAGCCGGGGCCCGGCGGGGCGGGGCCCAGCAGCTGGGGGCGGGACCGGGCGGGGTGCGCGGCTGGAGCGGCGGGAGGGGCGGGCTCTTCCGTCCCCTGATTGGGTCTGGGCTGAACGAGGGGCTGTGTCTTGCGGAGGTTCTGCGGGTCGGCACTGGGCGCCGAAGATGGAGGGTGTGGTTTTGTGAAGTCAGTTCCGGTCGGTGTAAAACCCTAGGGGCGGCGGCGGACAAGCTTCAGATGCTTCTGGGTCGCGGTGGGAACACTCCTGGGTCCGTCTGTGTGAGCTTGAGAGCCGAGCGCTAGAGCGACCCGGCGAGGGATGGCCGCCACCGGGACCGCGGCCACCGCGGCCACGGGCAAACTCCTGGTCGTGCTGCTGCTCGGGCTCACAGCTCCCGCCGCGGCGCTGGCCGGCTACATTGAGGTGGGGACCGGGCGAGCGCCCGAGCCCTTTATCCTGCGCCCGCGGGGGAGCGCGGCCTGCGGGCGGGCGGGCCGCGGGGTCCGGGCCGGGAGGGGGTCGCGGCGCGCGGGGCGGTGGGGGTGGTCCGGCGCTGCGGCGGGTCTGGAGCGCCTCCCCCGCCCGCCCCGGCTTGGCGCAGTGCTTGGCGCTGGAGGTCGGGCTGTCTCCGCCGCCGCAGAGGCCAAATGAAAGGCATCGGGGTTGCGGGGGGCAGCGGGCCGCCTCGGCCGCCCCAGCCCCCATCCCGCCCGCGGCGCCGCCACATCCTCTGCGGACCCTGCGAAGCCCAGACTCCCACTCCTCCGTCCCCCGGGACCGCGCGAGCCTCTGCCGTGCGCCCTGCAGCCCGAGACACGGTGCGGCTGGGCTCGCTCCGGGGGCGGCCGTACTGACCCGGCCCCCGTGCGGCACCCCGGCTTTCCACCCGGGAACGGCGGATGCGGCCTTTGTTGGCGAGTGGGCCGGGCCGCGGGGATGCGGGCGCCGGGACAGCGCCTCCCGGGCGGCACGGGAGCGACTCCGCTCCCCGCAGCGGGTGCGCCCTCTGCTTCCTGTGCGCCTCCCGCTCCGGATCCCGGCTCTGGCGTCGGACCTTCGGGAGGGATTGTTAAATACAATTCGGTTGCCTGAATCTGATGAACCAGGGGAAACCCTTGTCTGCTGTCGGCGTTGTTCCCTTTTGTGGTGGGTTTCAGCGAGCAGGGACAGTACCCGTGAATACGTTGTAAAAACTCTGGTTGAATCGTACTTTTTCGGCGTAAGTAGTTTGCCCGCACCTGGCGACCTCGCGGACACACACGTCTGTGCCGGGCGGTGGTCGGGTGCTTGCCTGCTGGGGTCAGGGGGTCCTGCCTTGTGGCCTGGACCTGGCCGCTTGTAGAAACCTTTCTGTCCACAATGGAGCCGTGGGGCTTTATTTTTACTTGCCACCTCGAAATAGTGCTTGATCTGTCGGACTGGAATGTGTGTTTCTGGTGTAGTTTATTTCTCCTCTTCGCTCTTTTGCAAATTACAATGGCTTTCTGCAGAGTTGGCTAATTTCAGAGAGAAGTGAGACTGGATTTGATTACACAGGCATTGACTGAAGAGTTTCTAATAAAAACCCACAGTTAGAACGTGTTCTTCTGCAGAAAGTGGAAATATTTCCACGATTAGAAACAATCGACTCTAGAACAAACCTCCAGTGGAACAGCTTAAAACGTCCTATTCATCCTGCTTAAAGCTTTGATTCTTCAGGGGCGGGGGGCGGGGTGGTGGTGGAGGAAGTTTCAAGTAGAAATAGTTAATGCTTATGTAAGCATACTTTTAGATTAGGATTCTTTTCGTTTCCACGCAGTGGTTAGAGTTATGTCTGTGATCTACGATATGGTGTCGCAGGGAAGCACTCTAGATGAGTGCGGTGGAAGGGAAAGGAAAAAGCTTTTGTTTGGAACATAGAATTTAACTCTTAGGGCAGGATGTCACAAACCATTGTTCACATTCTTTTACCTCACTTCCCAGAGGTATGAGTAACTTCAGGCACTAGTGAATTCACAATCAAGGGTTCATCAGTTTTCAAGAATATCTTCCTTTCAGGTCTAAACAGGCACTTGTTTGCCTGCCGAGAAAGAGCAGTGAACAATACCAGAATTAGCTGTTGTGGATTAAGTTTGATTATTATCCACATCGTTGTTCAATCGGAAAGTCCGACTAGACAGAAAGTAGGAATTAGACATTCCCTAAAATGGTGTTTGCATGCGGTTTTAGGAAACTTCTCATCTTTGGAGCTGTATTTTTGCCCACCCTTACTAAATTATCTTTCAAATGCTTTTTTTCTTTTGTCCAAGAGGCAGAATTTCCTTCATACATATATAATTTGATTTTGTTTACTAACTTCCAGGCAAAGGGCTGCCTGAGCCTTGGTTTAGATGAGAATGGCCTAAATCAGGATTCTCTTTGAGATGGTCCTTACTGAGATTAGCCAAAGGGATTCTAGCCAAATCCCTCATCAGATTGCTTGGCACAGAGTTATTGATTGGCAAATCTTGAGTGTTGCTTGGTGTTGACTGAATTAATCTCATACACCTGTTTAAAAGGAAAGAAAAAGAATCTCTGTATTCGGGGTCACTTCCTCTGTTAAATCCGAGACAAGTTCATTTGAGGGCCTGCTCCCTTGTGGTATTCGTGCTGAAATCCTGCACTCTGTGCAGTGGACACTGAGGCTTCTGAGAGCCAGAACTCGAGTTCATTCCACCACATTTTAAAATGAGTGGGCCCTTTGGTAGCCAATATTCAGGAAACTCATAGTATGACATCTGAGGCGGAATATCAAGAAGCTTTGTGCTGGTATTTAAGTGATGGTAGAGGCAATGTCTGATTATGACCTGGACAAATACCAATGCCTCTGATAGAAGCATCAGCTTTTACTTTATTATAACTGTGTTAAAATCCTTTGATAAATGTGATGTGCTAAGTTTTGGCAAATCCTCCTTTGATGGGGTTTGTCTTCATCATCTAAAGCGGGGCTGTCCTGCAGGGTAGCCACTTGCAGTGGTGGCTATAATGATTGAGGAATGAATTTTCCATTTTGTTTAATTTTAGCTAATTTACATTTAAAAACAATACTCAGTTCAGTGATTGGAAACAACTTTTTATATGAGTCTACTTTTTAAACTACATTTTATGAATGTAAATGCGAGTCAGATATTTCCTGTGAAATTTAGCATGTGAATTGAGATTATCTGTAGGTGCCAGATGCACTCCACATTTTGAAGACTTGCTATGAACAACCTTGTAAAATAACTGATTTGTAATTGTCGTATTGATTGCATTGGATGATGATATTTTACACAATGCCTAAGTAAATTATATTAAAATTAGTCTCACCTGTTTCAAATATAACATATATGACTCATATTTCTCCTGGGTGGTGCTAATTTAATTTATTTTTTAAAGTTGGTGCTGTGTGAGTGTTTTTATTAGCACAGTTTTTAAATGTTTTTTTCCCTCACAATAAAGCCTTGCTTAAAGTTGGTCCAGTATGATCTTAACAGCTTTGAGTATTTTTTTTCTGTTAACTTTTTTCAATTACAGTTTCTATTTGGAAATAATTTCAGGCTTACAAAAAATTGCAAAAATTGTAGGAAACACTCTTATATCCTCTACCCAGATTCATCAGTTTAACATTTCCCCCTATTCAGCATTTGTTTTGTCATTCATTGTGTAATTATATATCTTTTGCAAACAAGCAAAGGGAGCAAATTGCATACATCTTGCCCCTCTACCCCTGAAAACTTCCAAATGTATTTCCTAAGAACCTGAGAACCAAGTATTGTGTCCTGCATAACCTGTTTGGTTATGAGCTTAAAGAAATTTAACTTCGATACAATACTTGGATCAAATCTACTCTCTGTATTCCTTTTTGCCAGCAGAACCAATAATGTCCTTCATAGAATTTGAAAACTTTTTTTTTTTTAAGTTAAAGAGCTTTAGAATTCTTGGTAGTAGTACGTTAAGGGTTAATTTTTTTCCAAATATAATATCTTAAGCTTACCTGATCTTGTTTTGACTCTGGAAAATAAAAACTTGAAAACCTTTCAGGATTCCTCAATTATATTACTCTTACTAGATTATTGGGCTTTTGCATTTTCTGTTTAAAATTACAAGAAAAATTACTTAGGGAGTGCATATTCATTGTAGAAATTTTAAATGCATTTGAAGAATAAGAAGTGAAAAATAACCTGAGATCATTGTGTTGTCCGTGGAAATTTCACTGTGAATGTGTTGGTGGTGTCTAGCCTCCTGTGACTACCAGGTACATACATTTTTATCAAAGTGACAGACAGATTGCTTATTAAAGCTGGTACCTAACAATTAGTATTTTGAATTGTCGTAAAATGAACTACTGAAAGAAAATAGTTTTCTGTGTGATTAAAAAGGGATACATTTTTGAACAGTGATTGTAGAGTCTGTGGAGGGAGGCCATTTGAGAGTTGGAAATCGCCCATAATCCAATTCCCATGAGTTGTTTTTTTAGTGAGGTAAACTAGATTACCTTGACTCTTAATTAAATTTAGTATAGTGCACCTTGATTTATGGTCTGAGATGGAAAGTGAACGAAATAGAAATGAGTTCCAGTTCTCTGTATCAAGTACAGCTAATAACTGCTTTTTTGCCGAGAGACATTTTCTTACATAAGCATCATGGAAGCTTTTTTTCATGGAATCTTTTGCAACGTAACTAATCTGTTTTTAAAATACAACTCTTCATTTGTTATCCATCCCACTAATGTTTGTTGAACACTGTTACCAGGTTCTGTGTTAGAGGCTAAACAGTGCAGTAATAAAACCAGATATGCCTCATGCCTTTTCCCCTGCAAAGCGCACTTGCCTGTGACTTTCAGGCCCCACCCCCAGAGATTCTCCTTGAGGACATCTGGGAATCTCATTGTCATGGGCTCCCCAGGGGGTTCTCATGTGCAGGTGGAGAAAAACAAACTGCAGCAAACAAAAAGACTACAGAACTCATGTGGGTACAGCATCTTACATAAGTCCCCAGAAGTCTGGTAAAGTAGGTCTTCTCATCCACACCTGAAGCAGGGAGTCAGGAGAGGCCAGCAAGGCCAGGGTGAGAACTGGTCTGTCCTATTAAGTTGTTGCCCCTTTTATATTGGGGTGTTTCATGGCATTTCTATTTGGGTTGCAGATTTCTTTTTTTTTTTTTTTCACTCTTGTTTACCTATTTTCTCTACCATCAGGAAATCTGATAGGAATATTTTCTTTAAAAGGAACTAATTTCATAGATACTGTATCATGAATCCATGTATTGCCAAACTGCTAACAGTGGTTTTCTTTGAAAGTTGTAATTAAAGGAGACCTTGCCGTTTTACATTTTCCATGGATTAAAAAAAAACTAATGCTTTTCTGTATAATGCGCAAGTTCTTTTTTTTTTTTTTTTTTTCAATAGTAAGCTTGTTTTGTCT